ACACACACACACACACACACACACACACACACACACACACACACACAGAGTATCAGTTCTCTTCTGGAGAACCCTGTCCAATACAGACCCTTGCCTTCTGGAACCACAGCCCTAATGTAAAGCCTTCCCTTTGTACTTCTGTATTTGCCTTGGTCATAGTGTTTGAAAAGTTACTAACAATTCCCTTCTCATTTTTTAAAAGTTTCTTGGTTAGTCTTTCAGATTCATTTTTATGACCAAGACTTATGATTCGTTGTTGTCGTTGTGGGGCCTAGAGAGATCATTCAGAGGTTAAAGGCATTCGCTGTTTGTCCAGAGCACCCGAGCTCCATTCCCAGCACCCATGTCAGCGGGCTAATAGACTATCCCTGCTCCACAGATCCCATTCCTCCAGCCTCTGTAAGTACCTGTACACCTGGCACACACCCGCACACATAAGTGGCATTAAAAAGTAAATCTTAAAAAGGAATTTTAAAAATCATGAAATTTGCAGGCAAATGGTGGGATCTAGAAAGGATCATCCTGAGTGAGGTATCCCAGAAGCAGAAAGACACACACGGTGTATACTCACTCATAAGTGGATACTAGACCTATAAGATAAGATAAACATACTAAAATCTGTACACCTAAGGAAGCTAAGCAAGAAGGGAACCCTGGGTAAGATGGTCAACCCTCACTCAGAAAGACAAACAGGATGGACATTGGAAGTAGGAGAAAAACAGGAAACAGGACCGGAGCCTACCCTGAAAGACTCTACCCAGCAGTGTATCAAAGCAGATGCTGAGACTCTTAACCAAACTTTGGGCAGAATACATGGAATCCTATGAAAGAAGGGGGAGATATTGAGACCTGGAGAGGTCAGGAGCTCCACAAGGAGAGCAACAGAACCAAAATATCTGGGCATGGGGGCTTTTCTGAGACTGATACTCCAACCAAGGACCATTCATGGAGATAACCTAGAACCCCTGCTCAGATGTAGCCCATGGCAGCTCAGTATCCAAGTGGGTTCCCTAGTAAGGGGAAAAGAGACTGTCTCTGACATGAACTCAGTGGCAGGCTATTTGACCCCCCCCCCGAGGGGGGAGCAACCTTGCCAGGACACAGAGGAGGACAATGCAGCCAGTCCTGTGAGACCTGATATACTAGGGTCAGATGGAAAAGGAGGACCACCTCTCCTATCAGTGGACTTGGAGAGGGGAATGGGAGGAGATGAGGGAAGGAGGGAGGGATGGGGAGGGAAAGAGGAGGTAGCTACATCTGGGATACAAAGTGAATAAACTATAATTAATATAAAAAATAAAAATTTAATTTAAAAAAGTCCAGTTGGGATTCTTATTGAAAGTTCATTACAAAAATTACTTTAGGAAGAGCCGAGTCTTTGACATCTCTGCATTTAGTCAAGAAGACTCCATTTTCTGGGTATACAAACACTTGGATTATCTCTTGACTTCATGCTACTCAGTCTTCATCAATGCCCCACTCAGGAAAAATAATCTTATTCTAACTCAGTAGCTAACTGACAAAACAAAAGTCAATGAAAACCCCCCAAATTGCACAACTTCATCTGACCTATGAGAAGCCATGTCCCAGTTACAGAGGGGGCGCTTCTGTGTTTCTCATCAGCGCCCTTTCCTATGAGAGGAGGATGAAAGCCCAAGATTCACGACAGACATTCCTAAGCTTTCCCCTTCTCTCCCTTGTTTCTTTCCTCCCCTGTTTATCTCCCCTCCCTGTCTCCTCCATCTTGCGTCAGATGAACTTGTCCTTGTCCTCATCTTCACAGACAACAGGGCTGTCGTAGGAAGTACCCCCTTCAATTCCTTTCTTCTTAAAGACACATTTTTTTTCTCCCTTAGAACTTTTGGCTCGGTAGAAATATTCATTTTGGCGCTGGCTTAGTGGGTAAAGTGTTTGCAATTGCTGTGAAATCAAATAAAAGCTGAAATACCTGTAATGCCAGCCTGGGGGTGGACACACACACACACACACACACACACACACACACAAAGCCCCAGAAGTTGGGTAGGGATGTGGAAATGGGGAAGGCTTGCCGAGTCAGGCGATGTGGCTGAATTGGTAAGCTCCAGGCTTACTGAAAGACTGTCTCAAAAAAATAAGGTGGAGAGCAAATGGAGGGAGAGGCTCCATATCAGCCGTCTCTGAGTTCCACACACCCTTGAATGGGTGTGCACCACCCCCGGACATTCGCAAATGTATCACATACAATAAATAAACACACAAGCGAATAAATAAGTCGTCTTCATTTTTGTCTAAAATCAGTCTCTCTCTCTGTGCGCGGCTCCACCCTTTCCTCCCTCTGTCAGAGCATTGCTGTTGATCGTTCATCTTCCTTTCCATAGGGTCCTCCTTTCCTCTGCGTATGAGTACCAGGTCTTCCTATTTAGAAAAGCCCTTTCTGTCTTACATTTTAAAAAAACGAATAGTTATATTTGACACTGTCACAAAGAACTTTCCAAACAATCAGCAGCAACAATCCACTAACTCCATTCAGTCCTCAAACCACTGTCATGTGAAAGAAAACACTTCAAGCCATCCCAGCCTCTGCTTAACAGTTAAACAAGACCAACAGTAACCTTCAGATTGCCAAAGGCTATGGACGTGTCTCGACTCTCACCTTGACCTTAGTGTGACACTGAGCAATGCCAATGACTCCTAAGTTTCCTTGGGTTCTCTCTATCCCTTCCCTCCCTCCATTAGTTTCGTCTATCTCCTCCTTCCCTCCCTCTCCCTTCTCCCCCCTCCTCCGTGTGTGTTCACACGCAGGTATACATGCTGGTTTGTGCATGTAAGCGTGGAGGCCGGAGGGCAGTTTCAGAGGTCATCCCTCAGGCACCTTCCACCTTGGTGTTCTTTCCAGACAGTGCCTCTCAACTGTTGGGCTAGGCTAGCTGGCCAGGGAGCCCCAGGAACTGGCTTGCCTCTTCAGTACTAGAATTACATGTCATGTTTCTTTACAAGGATTCTAGGATGCAACTCAGGTCCTCTTGCTTGCTTTACTGTCTAAACTGTCTCCCTAGCCCTCTCCTTGCTTTTTTTTGCTCTAATTAAAAATAAACAAATAAAAATAAAAAGATTTAAAAATTGCTCCTCTTTATTGTCCTCTTTCCTGTGCAATAAATTCAAAAGCCCATGTGGGGATCTCATATTCAGTATGCCCCAAACTGAGCTCATGTTTCCCAACCAATGTGTTTTCCCTTAATGAATGCCTTCTCGTGACAAAGGACACCACTATCTTCTCTTCATCCAAGCTGGAAACCAGAGGCTTACCCTCATGTTTTCCTCAGGTTCGTTCCTCCTCTAGTCTCTTTTTTCATGTATATCATAGAGTCTATCAAGGTTTGCGTGCTTCCTCTCTGCTCTCTGTCATCATGCCCCCTTCACTGGATGCCCTTCCTCTGGTCTCACCTCCGCTTACCCCATTCCCTGTATCACTGAGGCAGCCAGCCTCCTGAGGGGTACAGTTGCTTATGCTACTATCGGAAGCTGCTCGTGGTCACCATGTTCAGACTCGTACCAATCTCTCCACCAAAATAGCCATACAACACTCCAGGACTGGCCACAACTCTGGTTCTGTGATGGCCAGCACGGCTGCACTTCGAGTGTGTGTCTCTCTCTCCTTTCGTCTCCTTGACTATATACCCACACATCCTTAAAGATTACAGAGTCTTCTCCGACGACTTGGACCCTCTTCGGTCTTCCTATAAACATTCTCTTTCATGTGACTGGGTGAGGCTAGCACCATGTGTCCCGTGTACAGCGACTGTCTGTCACGCTGTATTGTGGTACTTGCAGGTCTTTCCTCCTAACCTTTTCACTGAGGGCAGGAACTACAGCTGACACCCGGCGGGTGGTCAATTTAACTCTCGTCCCGCAGATCCTATCCAATATACTTTTCAACATTGTCCTGCATGACGATTCGAAGCGGTGCTCAGCTGGCCTGCAAAAACTGTTTCTGCCCGCCAGGAGCTGAGTAAACATCTATTCTAGGAGACTGCACTTTTCTACAAAGCAGAAGCCCTAAATGGTCCAATTGTTATCTCTCTTGAGTGTAAAGGGGGTCAGGATCCAGCAGTTCTTACTGATGGCTCATGTTAACGCCCTCTATGTCTAGATGCTGGCTATCAGCTTCACCAGTGAGCACTTGAGTCTTCCAGCGTGGTACCCCCCTGAGGCTGGGTCACACCTTTCCTTCCTCCTTCTCTTTGCTGGGGTCCTCCTTTAAATTATTATCATTCTTTCTTTATTATTATAATTATCATCACAATATTATTATAACCTCCATTGCACCATCACGTAGGTCCCTTGACCTGTGTGCTGCTGGTAGATTTCCTCCATGTGGTGTGAGAAAAGCGGGCTCCCTGGTCCTTCCTACAGGAGAGGGACGTCCGGAGGCCACTAGCGGACAGGTACTCACCTTTTTCAAGAGAGGGAATGGTTTCCGGGGCTGTCCAAGACAGGCCAGAGTGCACTCCGACCTCCCAATCACTGTGTGCAGCTCACACCACACGCTTTCCAGCCCAGGGCCTGCTGTGTACTGCCCGCCCACTGAGGTTGCCTAGGAAACCCATTCTCCGCCTCCCCTGACCTCCCAGTCGCGAAGGGGATGAAGAGGGCGGGGAAATGAGCCGCTCATCTTTGTCTGCAACCTCCAACCCATCGACACAATCAGGGAAGACTGCCCCCCCCCCTACTCGCCCACCCCCCCCACTCCTACCTCAGCCTGGGCTCCCGGGGGAGCGGTGGGAGCCGGTTGCTCACTAGTTCTCCTGGGGTGTATCTTTTCACCTTGTCTGCTTCCGAGGAGCCAGCGGAAGTTTGTGGGCTAGGCGGCGGGGACCTGGTCCCGGCATTTTCACGGTGACAGTTTCTGACACTTGGAGCCTCGAAGTGAGCATGCTAGGTCTTGGTCCCCAACATGGCATGAAGCGGTGATGTCACAAGACGGTTTCCAGATCTGCCCCTTCCTGCCGTTGGTGATCTTGGCCCCTGCAGTCGCCAGCAGCCCTGTGAGCACCCCCTCCCCCTCTCCGAGGGCAAGTGCGAGACAGAGGACTGTCTAGACGCCACCCTCTCCCAACCACCGACCCTCATGGGTCTTATTAGGAGTCCTCGGGCAGGCTTTTGGACGTCTCCCGAGTTTGCCAAAATGCTCGGGGGGGGGGGGGCAATAATCGTTTACGGGAGAGCGTAAGAAGGACAGGGAGACTGGCTGAAAAGGCAGCGACTTCAGGAAACAAAGGAGATCAACCCCAGCCAGCCCTCTGCGTTCTTGAGAAGCGCAGGGTCCACCAGAGTTAGCCAGCAAGCACAGCCGCGTATGTGCCCTTTAAATGCGGTGGTCGGAACCAAAGTACGCCATAAAACACACTTCAGACCTCTAACGCTTAAGCTGCCGAGACGCAAGGCAAACGGTTTCCGTCGCGGTTTTTATGTTGAAATGCTTGGGGTTCATCGGGTTAAATAAAAACGTTTCGTTTCGTTTGTTCGTTTGTTTGTTCACATTGAAAATGTGGCTGTCAGAACAGTTTATCGTTGCCTCAGGTTATTTTGGACGGAGCGTGTTGGTTGTTCGCTGTCCATTGCAAGATAAACACCGTGACCGAACGAACGCCACTTGAGGAGAGGGTTTATGTGGCTGATGCGGCCAGATCACAGTCCTTCGCCAGGGGTCAGCTCAAGCTGGAGAAGAGGCTGGAACCACAGCGAAACGTCCACCTGCTCGGCACCGGCCTTGTCCTCAGCGGGCTGGACTCCCTCTTACCAGTCATCGATCAAGAAAACATCCCATAAACACGCCCTCAGGACAATCTGACAGGGGCGGTTCCTCCCTCATTCTGCCTAGGTTTGGCAAAAGCTCTGACGGCACTTTACTTATTTTGATCAGTAGGGCTGCGTTTGATTTTCGGGTCTTCTCGCAAAAAGGCGTCTGCAATGCTCTTTTCCGTCACCAGATGGCTGCTTTGCTCAGACTAGTTTTAAATTGCCTTCTCAGGAAAAAAAAAAAAAAGAAAAAAGAAAAAAAAAAGAAAATTCAGATGATAAATATTTCTATTTAACAATCTAAGCGTGCGACTCATTCGACGCCTTCATTATCTGTAATATTGTTTGTAAACAAACTCTGCAGAAGCAGGTAAATTAAGTTTTCCTCCGTATTTTTCATTTCACTGAACATTGCTTCCCTCCTATCAGCAACGGATTAAAAGTGAGCCAGTTAAATTATTGGTGGCTTAAAGGTAAAACTAACTCCTGGTCAAAAAAAAAAAAAAAAAAAATCTGATTCATGTTTTATTTCTACTATTCTCCCCTCTGTTTTTTTTTTTTTTTTTAAGAATATAGATTAACTTGAAAGGGTTAGTTTCAATTTCTACACTTTAAGAACATCCACCATAGACCAGTTAGATAAAATTATCTACTGATGCATCGTATTTTCACTTTGGAGTATGCTAGTTAGATTTGTTTGCTTGTTTTGTTTGTTTTTTTGTCACCTTGATAGAAACTGAAGTCATCTGGAGGACACCTTAATTGAGAAAATGCCTCGATCAGATTGGCCTGAAGGCAGGTCTGTGGGGCATCTTCTTATTAATGATCCATGTGGGAGACCCCCACATCACTGTGCATGGCTCCACCCTTGGGTAGGTGGTCCTGGATTGTGGGGAGGCGGGGGGGGGGGGGGGGGTGGGGAAGCCACGGAGAGGAAGCCAGTAGGCAGAATTTCTCCATGGTTCTGCTCCAGCTCCTGCCTCCAAATTTCTTCTTTGACTTTTCTGATTTTTCTTCAGTGATGGAGCTGTAAGGTGAAATAAACCCTTTTCTAACTTAATTGCTTTTCAGTCCTGATGCTGATCATAGCAATAGAAAACAAGCTAGATCAGGAAGAATGTTGTACGTGGGGACAGAAGAACAGGGATTATCAGAATACATTATTTTGCTCGGAAGCGTAGGAATCTGTTGTGATTCCCCCTACGAGAGAAAGTGCTAACATACACTTTGTATTATAGAAAACAATTTGCATGGGAGTGCGCAGACGAGGAGTCCAAACTCCAGTCATTTTTCAGGAGCCATCCATCTTGTTTTCTGATACAGGGTCTCTCATTGGAACCCAGAGCTCCTGGAGTTTTGTAGGCTGGCTGGCCAGCGAGCTTCTGAGGTCTACCTGTTTCGACCTCCCCAGCTGGGGTCACAGGCAGGCACTACCTGACAGAATCTGCATCTGGGTTCTGACCCTTGAACTCGGGTCCTCAAACTAGCAAACTAAGCACTTTTCCTACTGAGCCATCTCCCCATCCCGGCCCACAGTGTGAAGAAAAAGTACCCTTTTTCTCTAGGGAAAACTCAAGGGCTTTGCCAACAGGAGTTGTGTAAGTATCCTCTACAGGTTTGGAGTAAAAAACTTCAGTGATTTGCCAAATTAAGGCCCCTGTCTGAATCAAAATTTTAGACAATTGCTTGTTTGTTCCAAAACTCCAGATGTTATTTAAACTGAAAAGATGCTTGCAGTTCAAAGCCAGAGGACCAGTTTTAATCTCTTCGCACTTTGAAGTTGATTTATGATACTTTTTTCCTGTGGCTGTAAGTGTAAGTGAAGTGGCCAGTAGAGCTGAAGGAGAAGTGGACACACACCCCTAGCCCTGACCCAGAAGCTGCCTCCAATTGGTAACCACTTGTAAATGAAAATTTAGTTTTCTTCAAGGGAGTCACACTGAGGAAACAAAGTACCGTTAAGAGTAGACTGCACACAAGCAGGAGACGGCCAGTAGAAAACAGACTCAACATTGTCTTTGGAGGTTCCTTGTCTCATAATTCTGTCTGGGCTTTCCCTCCCTCCCCCATTTTACTTTTTATTTTATTACTATTTTTCCCCTGCAGATCCTTTGCATATATATTATGACTTCTAGTTTAGTATTTTCATGGGGTTCCTGAGTCTACGAACGAGTGGGCCTCTGCATCTGTGTCTGTCTCTGGTGCCTTTCTTTTCTTTGGCTCCTTTTCTTCTGTTTGTCCTATTTTGATGCGTTAGTTTTTGTTTTATCTTATTGCAGTCTATCTTATTATTATCCCTTAAAAGCCTGTTTGTTTTCTAGTTAGAGACCTAAAGGGGGTGGATCTGGATGGGAGGGGAAGTAGGAAGGAACTGGGAGGAGAAGAGGGAGGGGAAACCATAATCAGTATATATTATGTGAGGGAAAAGAATCTATTTTCAAAAAAGGAAAAAAAAATCAAAAGAACAGAAAAGCCTGAATGGTGTAATCATTAATTAAATCTTTTAGATTGGCTATTGAATTTATTTATTCAAGAAACCCATCATTAAGAAAGAAGAATGGCAATGACAGCTAGTTACAACTCTGCTTCGCTCTTCCACCAAACGTAAGTCTGAAGAATGAAAAGTCTGGAGACCTTAAGTGATCGTTTGGATTTTGTAGAAACTTCATCTTTATGCAAACGACTGCTTCCCAGCTAATGATTCTATCAGATTGTCTGTGAAAGTTCACTGCCTCATGCTTGAATTTTACATGTCACAAACCCCATAAATGAAGAACAGCTGAAGAGTTACTCAGGCAGTGGAAGGAGTAATTACGTGGCTCTTATAAAGTCGTCATCGGAGGTTTTTTTATTAATGTCTAGCAATGACTACTCAAATTCAAATACATTAAGATACAATTTTTAGAAGCTGTTCCAGGCAAGCTTTTAAATAGGTCGACATAACTCTATTTCTGAGGTTCCTACCTAGAAGAGAGAGCCTTTGGCTATGATTTGTTGATACATAATTAATGGATGTGAAAAGGAGCTTCCTCTGTCTCAGATAACTTCACCTCCTCATTTAACCATTCCGGGGTGAAATCTGTAGTTAGCTCTAGGCAGCAGTCCAAGGAGAGCAGATTTAAGGCAGAGAGGGTTGGTTCTCTGTGAGGGAGAACCCTGTCTCCACTTTTTCTGTACTTAGGACTTGATCATATTCTTAGACCTGAGCACACTACCAACCGCACATACAAAGCGCTTCTCCGTTTTCATTTCTTCTCCAGCTTTTGTCTGTATTCGACCCCCCGTCCCAGCTATGGTTTCTTGTTGACGTTAATGCATGTTAATTACACACAGCAGTGGGTTTCTTTGTGACGTTTTCATACACACGTGTTACATATTTTGATTGTGTTCATCCTCTGGCACTCCTTCTTTCTCAAGTAGTTCTCTGTACACTTTCATGTTGTTCCTTGTCCCTGTCCCTTCTGCAGAGTCCATATATAAGAGAAAACATGCTTGCTTTCCTGAGTCTAGTTTATTTCACTTAACATAGTGACATGAAGTTCTATCCATTTTCTTATCAATGGCATAATTTTTACCTTTATGGACAAATAGTATTCCTGTGTGTGTGTGTGTTTGTGTTTGTGTGTGATGTGTAGTTTTCTTCATCTACTGACTCACTGATGAATACCTAAGTTCATTATGTAAACCGCCTGTTGTGAATAGTGACTTACAAACGT